AGATGGTACCTAATGGTTGATGAACCCTGTCAGGAGTTGGTGATGATAATGCAAAGGTAGGTGTTATTACTCTCCTAGTACATTCTTTTTTTGCCACCGTTGGTTCAATCTTGATACTGCCAAAGCAGGTCATCCTGTCCAGTGATCTCAGCAACAATTATAGATTCTTTTGAAAGTCAGTCCTACAAGTAACAAATTGGGTGATCTTCTTCTCTATCTTCTCCAAAATGTTACACTAGTATTTATATTAATATACTAATGTGGAAGAGGAAGGATGTCTTTAGTGCCCATGGATCAATAACTTAAGAATGCAAAAACTATCTCCTAGGGCCAAAACCCAATACAACAGATAGGTTTTGTTGACAAACAGAGGAAGAAAAAATTAAATTATGCCTTTTTACATATCACATCTTTCAGTAAATTAGTAGATGACTATAAGGTAGATGTCTCTCTTTTTTTAACATTAAAAAAAATAACAGAACAAACAAACAAAACCCCTAAAAAACTCTGAAGTAATGAATGCTGTGACATATGCATTGCTAATGCTGGGAAATGATATTAATATATAAGCAAGAAAATCAGTTAGTTGCAACATCACTGACCTACAAAATCAGAAAACAATCTGCAGGAGAATTCAGAGTGTAGTTTCACAGGAGTATCTGTGAGTAAGCATTTCAGTTATCCTACTGTGCTAATATTTTCCCTAATTTCTATGGAAAACGGTATAGTATTTGCCTTTTCACATAGTTCCTGAATTTTGTATCTCTAATACAAATAATTTTCCTAAAATAATCTCCTGATACCTTCCTTCTCCTCTTTTTGCAGCAGTATGGTCAGACAGGTAGTTTCTACAGTTTTGGTCAACTTTCAGGTTAGCTAGCTCACATGGACCTTGACATCCTGATATTGGCTTCCATTCATACATATATGAGTCACAGAACTCCCTTTTTCTGTGATAACCACATAAATGGATTTTCATGGGGCCTGGTAACTTTCTCAAATTATAGTGTGGGAGCTGCATTTTCTCCTGAGGACAAGTCTTCCATTTTAAATAAGGTTAAAGCATGATTACTGTAATGTATGAACTGCAATTTCATATTTTAACTAAATATTTCAATCTGATCCCCTAGCAATACTATACCTTCAGTTTCCAGGATCCATGTGTTCTTGAGCTACTGTTTCTAGAAAAGGAAATAATGCAATCCATTTATTAGAATTCAGATATTAAAATGGAACTTCTTAACCAATAAGGATGACTTTTGTTTTCTATTTACTGAAATCACATGTACAAATAACTGCTATACTTTTTATTTTATTTATTTATTTTTGAGACAGAGTCTTGCTTTGTTGTCCAGGCTAGAGTGAGTGCCCTGGCGTCAGCCTAGCTCACAGCAACCTCAAACTCCTGGGGTCAAGCAATCCTGCTGCCTCAGCCTCCCAAGTAGCTGGGACTATAGGCATGCACCACCATGCCTGGCTAATTTTTTCTATATCTATTTAGTTGGCCAATTAATTTCTTTCTATTTATAGTAGAGATGGGGTCTCACTCTTGCTCAGGCTGGTTTTGAACTCCTGACCTTGAGCTATCCGCCTTGGCCTCCCAGAGTGCTAGGATTACAGGCGTGAGCTACTGCGCCTGGCCAACTTTTTAACAGAGCTTACCATCCACATATGGAATAAAGCCTGCACGTGGCTGTAACTCTACGTGAAAAGGCTATATAAATATTTCACTTGTTCTTCCCTTCACTGATTTTTAGTTTAATGTATTTATTAATGTTACTAAAAGTTAAAATGCACCTGTAAATCAACAAGGTTTTGCATACACCAAAAACATTTTAAAAGAGGATCCACCCTAGGATTGTAAGAACACTCATATACATATAGATGTATTTCTGTACCCTTTTGATCATTTTATTTCAGCTTTTTTGTCATTGATAATCATATCTCCTCCATACTGCTTTACTATTCAGAAAGAATGACATACACCTATGTACTTTTTAGGGCCTCATTCTTTGATGAAAATTTATGTACATAATTCACTTAATGTAAATAAATTAAGTAGAAGCTTTGAATGACATAAAGCAAATAATTACCATCCTTAACAAACATCAAAAAATATTTACTAATATGAAAAAGCTGGCCTGTCACTTTGTTATTTGTGAGACTACTGCTTGTGTTCTTTAATTTTTTAATGCAATTCATATTTACTGATATTGAGGGAAAACCAGATGCTTAATTCTAAAAAAAATGCCCAAGGTAAAAAGACTTGGAAACAACTCAGTGTCTCACTTGTACAACAGTCAAATCTCCCTAGGTCAGTATATTGCAAAGTGAATGCTACTGACCATCCCTATCACAGTCACTTAGGAAACTTGTTGAAAAACCCACCCCAAACCTGCAGAACCAGTATACCTGTATTTTAAGAAAATATCCAAGGTGATTCTGTGGATACCAAACTTTAAGAACCACAGTTTTAGGCAATATAAACACCAATATAAAAAATGATAAATGATCATTTCAGTCTCAGTGCCTCAAGTAACATTGGCAATGTTTACCACCACCTAGTGGTAAAATCCTTTATTTTTATTTTCTATGGGTTCATTAATATTGAATAGGATCCCAATTAAAACAGAACACAATTCAGAGAAAGCTAACATTTTAGAGTAATAATTTCCTTGGCATTTTTCATCAACATCTTATCCATGGTGGATAAAACCTGTGTAACTAATAATACCTAACATTTTCTAAATGTACTTAACCATGAAAATTCCTTTCTACTAATTCAAGGAACATAGTTTGGAACATGTTATAGAAGCAGATCTGACAGTTGCTTTCAGTACCTGTAATCTACTATACAAGACCTGAGTTAATGAATCTATAAGAAAGGTTTGATCAGGCTTTAAGTATCATTTATATTTTAACCACATAATTGAAAGAGAGTTTTACTGAACTGTATTATCATCAAATTTTTTTAAATTTAAGAAATATACAATAAAACCCCACTATGTTGGCAGTTTTAACAACTGACATTTGCCAAGCATCTAAATATTCATATATTATGTTCTTATACTCAAAGAACATCTGAGATATAACATTTATGGGATGATACAAACACTGGATTACTAAATGCTATTCCTTAGGTTCTAGAATTTCCTCATTTTAAGAAAAATGTGACATTCTGGCTTTTAAAAATAGCTTTAGGGATCAACTGCAAGAGACAGAGACAGTTGCATGGAAAACATGACTAAGGATAAATAATTGAGAGGATTAAGATGAAATGTACACTAAGGCCAAAGTAAGCATTGCTCACTGAGTCATGAAACTGGGCAAGAAAACAAAACAGAAGGTTGCATTGAAAAAGCAGAGAAGTGTTTTGTAGATAGAGAGGCATTACACAAGTCTATTTAGAATTTACATGAAGGACTCAAGGAAATAAACCTATATGAGGCACCTTATTGACACCACAACTGTTTGTTGGTACTGGCTGCCTGACCCTTAAATGCAGAAAAGAGAAACTGAGATCATTTAATCCAAAATGGAGGGTTGGAAGGTATATGATAGCTACCATGTGAGGGATTCAACTTCTCTTACAAGCACAGTGAAACAACTTTATAGGGGAAAATTGTAGGGAATCAGATTTTATCTCAATTATGAGGATTAACCAAAGATACAATGGACTCAGGTAGGAGGTAGGGAGCTTCCTTTCTATAAAAGTGTTACTTTTATACTGTTAAAATTAACTATCTGGCAGAAATATTTTTTGAGGGAATTCAAGCATTACTTAAATAGCAAAGCCAAATAACCTGTAAGGAACAATTCAATTTCAATCTGTGAAAACTGAACTATGTGTACAGTTAATGATTTGGAGAGGAATAAATTTAGCTTTCGGTAATTAATCCACAACTCTCCTCCACTTAGGTTTTTCATTGCTAAAGAGATCATTTGCTTTCTTTTTAAAATATACCCTCTGGTTCACGGAAAGATACTTGGTTCAATTCTTGTTCAGTAAATCTTGCTTATGACAATAAGACTAGAATTTTTCATATCTATACTTACTGAAATTATTGATTTTAAAAAAAGGATTTTGATTTTTCAATGTAGAGATGTCCAAGTATGAAATACTGTATTATGCTTGCTGAATTTAATCTTTCCTTATTTTTAGTTTAACTCAGGATGTGAGGGGCATATTGAGGAGGTAATTAAGTGATGTTTTAACAACTACAAACCATTTATAATACCATTTTTTTTGAGGTGCCAAGTTCTTGATGTAGATATACCTTTTAGATATATACCATTTAACTGAAGAGTTAAAAAAATTTTTCTTGGAGTTTCAAAATACAAGCAGAGCATGTTCCTGATTTTTAATATTTAATTTCAAAATGACTATGCTTCCTATCATAGTCTGTTTTGAAAATTGCTTACATGTCATATTTTTGGAGTGGCCATTATATTTCTGTATTTAAAAAGGGAAAAATAGCTATACCCCCCAAACCACTGACATTTATTTAAACTTATTGTCAACAATAACTTTTAGTATTTTTTTATCACTGTTGCTTGATAATCTTAAAAGAGCTTTACAAAATTATCAACACATTTTTGCATGACTATAGTAATACAGTATATAAAAATATTCTAATGTATATAATACATTAGAATACTTAGAATAATACAGTATATAAAAATATTCTAATTCTTTTGGCTCTTGTCCTTAGAATAAGTGTAGGCAACTAATCTGCATGTGTAGATTCAGTAGGAATTACCATATTTTATTGAATCTAAGATGCAATTGATCGAAAGAACCACCTTTGTGTTTCATTAAGGAATAAAAAAAAGGTTGTCAATTACACTATGGCATACAATTGATATAAAAATGTTTCCAGTTTCAGAGGTGTTAAAATGTGAAAAAATGTGCATCTCAAAATCAATGAAATATGTCATTTGGTCAAATTCTAAGACTATTACATTTTTTCATTCTTGTCTTTCACATAAATAAGTCGTGATTTAGTTAAGCAAAGAAAACTTTATTTCTGCTACACATAACAACATATTGCTCTAAGAAACAACTACTATATTAGTTTTAGCATTGATATATGGATTCAAAAATACATGTCAGCAATCCCTGCTTCCCAGACAAAACAATGCTGTGCACAGACTATCAGGTATATGAAAAAAAAGGCTGTCAACTGTCCACAGGGAGTGCGTCCAGTCACATTTTCAGTCAGTCAGCTGAGGATTATGTCATTATTTAGTTTTTGTTCTGTAGAAAGAACACAACACAAGTATGAAAATCATCACCTGAAAGGAAATAGCTGTTGTATATAGTATTCCTAAAATGTTAGGAATTGTTCCCTTATTTCAGTATAACCAATGTTATCTGCTTAATCATAGATGCCCCCAAATAAACAAAACCAAACTTACTCAGAAGGATGATGCAAGCAGGTAGTGAATTTCTAGAGGTAAAATGTTGTGAATTAATACAAAATCCGATGCTCTGAAATACTAAAATTTCTATTTTCCTCAAATAGAAAGAGAAATACATTTTGGACATCAGAGCTATCACAAAATAGAACAACTATTTTTAAAGTTATATTCTTAGATCAGTTTCTTCTCCTATTTCCTAGGCGTGGCTCATTTAATCCCAGGTTTATTCCTCACAGAGCCAAGAGGAATTAGCTCTTCACAAACTGTGTCTGTGTCCTCTTAAAATTCAAGAAACAAACAAAAAAGTACAACCCCCCCAATAAAAAAAAAACTTGTCACAATCATGTAAAATCTGGAAAAGTCTTTCATAGTACTTTATCAAAACTTAAAATAAGATATATATTTAATATACCAACAAAGGAGAAGAATCTCAGTATGGAGTCCATGGTAAGTAGAAGATCTGCAGCAAAAATAAATTAAAAAGCCACACTGCAATTAGAAGAAACTCAAAACCAGTGTAGCTAATTATATCCTACCCAAATAACCATTTTCAACTAATCTGACCCTACTTAATCTTTGCCCTGAATATTTAAACAGTTCAAAAAGGGGAAGAATGATAGATTTATATTTTTATGAATAGCCATGCTGAAGAACATGCAATTCCTCTAATGTAGGAAATTGGATGAATTTAAGGGCAAATATATAGTATTATAAAGCTTAGTTCTCATAGCACCAGCTGGCCATGAGATAATTTTACATCATTAAACTTTTAGTTTCTGATCATTGATGTCATTATTTGGGATGAGATGACATCTCAAAGGTTTCACTGAAACCACAAATGCAAGAATTTTAGTTTACACGTGCAAAGCCTTTTTTCTTTTTCATTTTACAAGAAATTTAGCCAATTCATTGTCTTTCAATAACCCTATCAAAAAAAATGAGCTTCAGAAAGGTGAAGAGATCTGCCCAATCATAGTAAGTGGGCAGATCTGCTGGTTTTAAGCCCAATATTCTCTTTAATATGAAAATAATCATCAGGAAAGGCTCAACCATAAGATTAAAGTATATATTTTTCTTTACTAAGAAGTCTATATTTTGGTCCTTTTTAAGAACAAAGGTTTGTTGAACAAACGCAAGAAGTATTTATTACCTATATATTGAAATATTCAGACTGGAATAAACACATTTTTTGCATGTTATAGATAGCTTGTCTTAATAGAATTCAATTCTTAGCATTTTATTCATAAATAGGAAAAACTGTTCGTTAATTCTTTTTCACTGCCAATTTAATATTTTTAGGGTTAAATTGCTAACAATGCATAATGTAATGAGAATGTTTTTTGTCATTTAATAAAACATTTAAAAACATTTTAAAATTAGGATTATTCACAATGGGCCCAATGGGCACTTTCTATTGCCAACTGCCTTCTATGAAGGAGGAACTAATCACCTGACTTGCTCTGAGAGGAAGGGCCATCAGCAGGAAGGGCTGAGAGGACTCGCTCTGACAACCGCTAGCTCACGTAATTGGTCAGAAAGAAAACCTTAAGTGAAAAAAAGAAATGGTTGCAAGCCAGTAACTTCCAACTGAATTCAAAGTGCTTGCCAACTACTACCATTTGACCTGTAGTAGACTTGGGAAGCTGGAGTGTGTGAGAACAGGGAAACAGCTTCCCCTGAAACCAAGAATTCATTTACAGAATAAAAAAGTCTAACTTTAAGGAATGTCTCTCCAAACCACAGGGATATTAAAATGACAGTCTCAGAAAAAAAAAATTATAGTTTAATTTTTGAAAACTAATACATAAGAAAAGGAATTCATATGGCTGTATACATTATTATTTATAATAGATAATAATTTTTGGTAAATTGTCAAGTTTTTAAAAAAAATATCTGCACATGAGAATATTTTCTGGATGTATAGTATTAAAGCACAAATTCACAAATATAAGTCCAGAAAACACCAACATTTAGGTTCAAAATATCCAAAAAATTATATTATTCTTTATAAATACTGTTATAAATTATATCAATTCATAACTCAAGATACTGATTCTTCTAGTTAAAAATATTTAGAAACATTCAATTTTTAAAGTTTATGGAAGCACACAGTAAAAAGTCCAATTCTTAAAACTTAACATACTGACAAACAAAAACCATTTAATTTTCTGAACTGAAATTTGATCTTATTTCATAGAAGAACAAAAACATTCTTCCAGTTAATGTCAACATTTTTTTCAATAGTTTAAGTTCAAAAAATATATTGTAAAAAATACTTGGCTTTATCAGCTGAGTTTTAAGTCAAAGTGCTTTTAACAGACAACTTTCCAATCACTAAAAAGAAAAGTCCATGATTAAAGTACTTACACATATTTCTCTTGCTATATGCTTTAGCCAATATGTATTAAAATTCAGATTAAAAAGTGCTTACCTCAAGAATCAGTAAGTTCTTTGCCGTTTGTTAGATTCTTCTCTTGGGGAATCTGCCAGCATAACTTTAAGTCTGACCCCATTGAGAATCTTTCCATGTAAAGTGGCAATGGCATCGTTAGCACTTATTCTATCTGCATACTTGGCATACCCCACATTCTTTCCTGATACAAGGTAAACTTCGATCAGGTTACCAAAACGACTGAAACAAAGTGAAAAAATCAACTGAAATTGATAAATACAGCTGCTCAGGTCTAAAACCAGGGGTCCTTTCTTGACTCCTTTTTCACCCTTCTCCCCATATCCAACAAGTGATTCATGTCAATCTTCTTAAACATCCTTAATCAGTTAATTCTCTTCATTCTCGCTCAGGTCTCTTTCCTTATTCAGACCATCACCTTTTCCTTACATTACTCTAATACCTTCTTCACCAGTCTCCTTGCCCCTTAGGCTTGTCCCTCTCTAATCCATTCTCCATCCTGTCCTCTGAGTGAGCACAGATAGGATCATTTACTTCCTACAAATCCCCCAGCGGCCCCTCATTGCCTCTAGGGTAAGAACAAACTTCTTCTTTTTTTATTTCAGCATATCATGGGGGTACAAATTATGAAGTTATGTATAATGACCTTACCCCCCACCCCCCTCAAGTCAGAGCTTCAAGTGTGACCATCCCCCAGACGGTGCACATCTCACTCATTATATATGTATATATCTGTCCCCTCCGCCCCCCTTCCACCTGTTCAATATCCGATAAATGTAATTCCTATGTGTCCATTTAGGTGCTTATCAGTTAAGACCAATTTGCTGGTGAGTACATGTGGTGCTTGTTTTTCCATTCTTGGGATACTTCACTTAGTAGTATGGGTTCTAGCTCGAGAGCCTCTCTTGATATGGACCTTAGACTCTTTAGTTTCACCTCCCCTTACAATCTCTCAAATTCCAAACTCAAATGACCTCCTTTTACATTCTCCCTGGCAGGAATAATCATCCATACTCCAGCTTTCTTCCATAGTGAAATTATTTGTATCCTTCAGCTTTCCACCTACACCTTGCTTCTCTCAAGAAGCTTTCTCAGAGTCTCTAAGGTAGGTGCCCATCGTATGTATTTTACACATTCCTTAACATAGCACCAATGTCTCTAGGTGGTAATTTACTATTTACTTATTTGTCTTTTACATGAGATTAGCTCTAAGAGGACAAAGATTATAATATAGTGTCTTGCTCATTTAATATAATGTTTTGAATGATCCAGTGACACTCTACAAAAAAAGACACCTGCACTCGAATGTTTATAGCAGCACAATTCATAATTGCAAGGCTGTGGAAACAGCCCAAGTGCCCATCAATCCAAGAATGGATTAATAAAATGTGGTATATGTATACCATGGAGTACTATTCAGCTCTAAGAAACAATGGTGATATAGCACATCTTATATTTTCCTGGTTAGAGCTGGAACCCATACTACTAAGTGAAGTATCCCAAGAATGGAAAAACAAGCACCAGATATATTCTCCAGAAAACTGGTATTAACTGAGTTGCACCTAAGTGGACACATAGGTACTACAGTAATAGGGTATTGGGCAGGTGGGAGGGGGGAGGGGGGAGGGTATATACATACATAATGAGTGAGATGTGCACCATCTGGGGGATGGTCATGATGGAGACTCAGACTTTTGGGGGGAAATGGGCATTTATTGAAACCTTAAAATCTGTACCCCCATAATATGCCAAAATAAAAAAAAAATTAAAAAAAAAATATAATGTTTTGTTTACATAATATCTCTAGCTCTCAGCACAGTGCCTGAGGGCACAAAGGAGAGACATGAGAAAAAAACTAAATAAATCAGTTAAATAAAGGTCAAAATATTTGAAACACATCCCTGATATTTTGTGCAGCTCTTTAAAAAGTTTCCTATCTGTCTGTTTAATTCACTAATATTCTTGTAAGGCAAATGGGGAAAAGACCAAAAAGAAAAAGCTAAGGAAGGAGTTATATTAAAAACACAGAAATAAATAAAAACCTTCCTTTTTCTCTAATACTTATTATATATTTTCCCCTACAATAAAGTAATTACTTACCCAATGTGATTATATAATTCTTATGGACCCAACAGTGCACTGACAAAATAGAAGATGCTTAGTAAATACTGTTCAGTTGAATTACAACTATAAAAAAAAGGATATGTAGAAAGAATTCTAGTGGATAGGTCTACGCAGATGTGTCTTCTACCAAGAGACAAATGATTGTCCATTTTATGTCTTCAAAATAAAATAAAAGGAAACTCTATGTGGAAAACAATATGTGACTGACAAAAGAAAATGATCAGAAATTGAAAAAAATGATACAAATAAGTTTTTAAAACCACAGAATAAATCATCTCTACCTGATAGGCAGTGGATGAAGGAAGTGTCAAGATTGTGAGAATGTTTAAATTATTAGTTTAAATAAATTATATAAAAAACCATAACTTTGTAGAATTGAAATCTTACCAGAATATATCTTCTAATACATCTAAAGGTAAAGGATGAGGATTAAACACGATAAAAAGTCTTTCTTTCACGGGAGTTTCAGGAGGGGCTTTTTTTTTGCATGGTGGAAGTACAACATCAGTCTGGATTTGAGGCAACTGTGATCCAGAACTTCCTCCAAATTGCTGTTGAACAGTTAGGTACAAAATAAGAAAAAGAAAAACTGCACTTTAGGGATTTCTGGCCAAGAGCTAAAGACACATGTGTATCATGGCACCTATGTGGTTTTCTACTATACCTCTGAAAATTGTCTCACATAGGTAATAAATAAAGGTCACATATATTTTATACACTATTGATGCATTAGAAAAGTTAAGTTATCCTTATCTACTTACCATATATTGCTGCTGACTTGGGTTATTCCACACCATTGATGCAAGCTGTGCAGCTACCATCTGCGTTGCCATTTTTCTAAGGAGACTGGAGACAATAACTGATAATTTACAGAAAACTAGAAATATTCAGTCTCTTAACAGTAACTTGTTTTTTTTTTTTTTTTTTCAGTAACTTGTTTTGTGTGACTTTCTCACCTGAGAGGTCAACTGTTTTCTATTTTTATTCTTCAAGTCATACTCATGTACGCCCAAAGCTTGGCTTTAGGCACTCCTGGAATGGTACTTACTCTGTTGCATTACTTCCATCATCAATGAAGGAAACACCTATCCGATTGCCAGGAGGGTACTGAAATCCATGTAACTTGTATTTTGCATAAATAGCTGATGCTACATTAAAATACTGAACCACTCCATGACCTAAAATAGGGAACATACAGAAATTAAAAAGAAAGCATTTATTACCAAGGATATGTGTAGGAAAAGAAAGTACAAAGAATAAAAAAATTAAAGAGAGAGAAAAAAAGAAAAGAGAAAAAAAGGAAGCAGATTGAGTGCCTAAGGCCTATGTTACAATGTATCTAAAAAATGAAACACTTTAGAACCCTGGTATCACACAACTAGTAAACACAGAATCAAATATATCAGAAAATACAGTTGTGTTATTCATGTGTGCAACACTGTATTCCTAGAAAGTAAGTCTAATTCAGATTTTGGGAAAACTATAAACATGATATTTAAAGGAAAATGGAATATTAGCATACATTCTGTCTAATCAATTTAATTTTAGGATACTGGCTTTTCTTATATGATACTGATATACTTAAAAATCTAAATTTTTATTATTTGAAATCTACTTTTAAAATTTTTAAATGTTCTCTATCATACTGGATAGGCAGTGAAATGAGAAGTGATATTTGAAAAGAATACATATTCATCTTGGCTAGCTGAAGTAGAGGGAGGAAAGTGATTTGAATGAAAAACAAAAGGTAGGAACAGAAGGTCTCCTATCATTAAGTCCCATATTTCACATTCCTTTGAAGAGATTTCAGCTAAGAGGGTAGATTTCAATTCAGGAGTATGAGGCTAAATAAACAGAAGGAAATTTTACTGGAGTTCTTAAATGGAGAGCCCAGGAGCTTGTGAAACAAACCAAAAGGTTTTACCATATATTTATAATATAATCCACTTTGGGAAAAAACACTTATAATTTTATGTTCCTCTCTAAATCTAAGCATCCAATGTTTTAATGAAATTAAAATAAAACACAGAAATCAAAGGACCATATATAATTATTTCAAATAGGATTCTAATTATATGACACCTCTATTAATAAAAAGATGTTCCAATGATACATATTTTTCAGGTACATCCAAGCAGAGAAAAAATATAGAAGGTATAGGGACAAGTACACTTTAACCTACCAGATAAAAAAGGGGGAAAACACATATAGAACTTTCTGTGAATATTAACAAATGTGCCAGAAAATATAAAATGTGTGCCTAGTAAGTCTTAGAACAGAGGATGACAGCATAAGATCCAGGTTAAGGCTGGAGATGGCCCAAAGTAGGTTCAGATGGACAGTTCTGCTAAAAGATTAGCGCTGGGTAGGTAACAGTGAGTATGTAGGAGTGTCTGTGTAAAAGGGTGAAGTTACTTTAGGCCTACTGCTGCACGTAATCAGACTCACTTCCCTACTTTCTCCTCAATACCTATGTCACTCTCAAAGGCCTAAATCAGGTAGGTATACCTGTAATACTGGAAGAGATGCCAACCAAGTATGATTTTTCTCTACCACCTCTCACTTCCAATTCTTTAAAAATCAAAAAACCCTTACATTTATGAGTGCCAATTACATACCAGGACTTGCATTAGGTTATTTTACATTTATTATTTCTAAGTCTTACTTAACCCTGGTAAAGAAGGTATTGATCCCATTTTACAGATGAGGAAACAAAGGCTCATAGAGGATAAGCAATTTGCCAGGGTCTCAAAGCTGCATGTCATTGCCAGGATTTGCATCTGAGTAGTCTGATATGAGTAGTCTGATATGACTTATTAGAGGTATAAACTCACTCCGAGGTATAAAGTTTAAGAGAAAAGAGACTTTAGGATGAATTGAATGAGGAAATTTTGAGTTTCACAAGTTGGTTTAGCATTAACTAAGAATATATACAGAGATCCTACTCTGAGGTGTTTTTGTTGTACAACCAAAACCAGAGAATGCTCTGGTTAAAATATTTTTTTAAGTGAATGACTTGGTAAAAATGAGATATATTCCCAGGGGTTTGTTTATTAGGCATCACTGTATTTTAAAGTCTAAAGTAGAAAAAAAGGAAACATAAAATTCCCGTCACACAATCGTAACAGTAACAGGAATTCTACGTTCTGACATAAAAGTGCCACAAGAGAAAAGCCATTTTAACAAAACACAGTATATTAAAAATCCCCCAAAAAACCCCATTTTACCATAATTTGAATAAGGATCTCGTTGAACTTCACAATATTCCAATCCTGGTACTATATCAAAAATACTGAAAAGCTGTTCTTCAGTGAAAGGAACTCTTGATACAACTGACAAGCGTTTGGAGATGGCTTCCTGGCCTCTGTTGTCATTCTTGTCAAAACTTGAAAATTCAGATTGTTGTTCTCCAACAAGATAAAAAAAAAAGTAAATTTTTAAATTTCTATAGATTCAACAAATCATTTAACATTTTAAGTATTAGAAAATAAAAAGTCCATTGCACTGAATAAAGACACTACACTTTATAGTATGCTTTTGGGCATCAAAACTACCAGAAAGGACCAAGACAAGGAAACAGACAACTCTCCCCACTCCATGACCTTAAAGGCAGAAATATATGCAGAAATGCATATCTATTTTCACAGGAATAAATTTAGTATGCAAAACTGAAAAATATGGCAAGTATTTTATCTCAAAATCTAAGCCAAATAACATTCATAGGCTTTATTTTTATCACTCATTTTTCCCTTTTTTTTAGCTTCTACTTTTATCATTCTTTCTGTAGCCCTAATTTTAAAGTGGCAGTAGTTTGGGGGCAAAATTTTAGGATTCATACTTAGGGGATATCTGTATATGCCTTTTGTACTTTTTGTTCCACTACACAGAGGCCGAAGCTCACTCAAAAAAGTGGCAGTGACATGTGGCAGTGGCAGTAGTTTACTATGCAGAGAATGTATGACTAAACAGAGAAAATTATCATTGGGAATAAGCAAAATAAGTGTTACATATTAAGGATATTAGGAGTCATGACCAACTTTTTAGGAAAAAAACCTTATATTTATTCACTAGGTGAGATTTACAGACAGCTGACAACACAGTATTTTAAAAAATTCAAGTTAGATTGCATATACTACATACACTATTAAAGGCAGCCCACTTACCAAAGGGAAACATATTTACTCTAGGTTCATGTCCCAGAGCCTCTTGCCTCATATTATTATAATAGTCTTGCTCTGAGGATTCAGATGCTTTATTTTTAGGTTCAGCCAAGATTGCTCTAAAACCTGGAAGAGAGAGCACATGAATTCCAAGCTTCACAGCAAATTTAACATACCTACAAATATATCTGATTGCTAGTGCTTGACTTAGCTTTATAAATGTAATTGTACAAAGCAAAATCTATACAATGGCTATCTCTACCAGACCTACTTCTTTGCTTTCTGGAAGATGGCAAAGAATAAATGAGAGACAGTAAGAATCCCAAATTATGGGTCAGTTTAGACATGAAACACCAGCAATTCTAGGCTATCCCTTCCAATCTCCCCCTACCACAGGTGATGCTATCATCCATTTGCCTAAGCTTCTCAACATCAAAATCTTATAGAGCTTCTTCACATTTAACCTGTCACCAAGATTTTCTGCCTTTGAAGTACACACACTTAGAATATGTTATCTTTCACTTTAACTTCCTTGGTTTTTTGTTTTGTTTTGTTTTTTAAGAGACACAGTCTCACTCTGTCACCCAGGCTGGAATGCAGTGGCCCAATCATAGCTCACTGCAATCTGGAACTCCTGGGCTCAAGCAATCCTCCTGCCTAAGCTTCCCATAGTTGGGACTACAGGCACACACCACTACGCCCGGCTAATTTTTCTTATATTTTTTAGAGACATGGTGTTGCTATGTTGTTGCCCAGGCTGGTCACAAACTCTTGGCCTTAACTGGTCCTCTTTCCTCAGTTTCTCAAAGCATTGGGATTATAGATATGAGCCACCATGCCTAGTCCCCTGCCTCTGTTTTTATTTTAGATTCTCTTCCATTAATTGTAACAGCTCTTTAACCACGGATAAGTGTCAAAAGGGGGGAAGATCCTATGAACTATAGGAGTCTTTAAATAAGTGCTTAAGCATATATGTACATATGGGCACATTTCAAGGGTTCATAGCTTTCATCGTATTACTCAGTGGCTTTAAAAAGGATAAAGCCAGCCAATAGGAATTCTTCTCTGGACATCTATCTTTAATCCTATGGTTAGATCAACCCTTCTAAAAGTTGTTATTATTTTTCTCTTTTTAAATAATCTATAAAGAAATCCTAACATGGACTAAGCTTGAACTTTTCATAACTTCCCATATACTAGGTTCCAATGTACCTAGTTAACTGTGCTTCATAATGCCTCAATAAAAATACTATGTTTTACTCAGAAAGTTGCCTCCACAGCATTAAGCACAAGACATGTTTATTCCTGGCTCTGTGCCTTTGCTAACACTGCTCCCTCTGGTCTTGCCCACTACACACCAGATGCAAGGCCCACCTCCTTGGATGTGTTTCCATGTTCATCCAGTGCACCTGTTTTTCATCATTGATAGACTGACTATACCACACACTTTTGAACACTTTTTTTATTTTGCAGTCTTATTGAGTCTTCTATAAATGGCAGTTACTTTGATTGAGATCTCAATAAATTTTTATTGAAGGCCTATTACGTACTAGGTACTTGGGGTGACAGAAAGACAAATAAGACACACTTCTTGCTTTCAAAGAGCTTTTAAAAAAATTCTCCTATCATTCTTCATTTTTTGCCTATTAGATTTTGGCTACCCAATATAGTTATAAATTCCTTAAATGACAGGGCTGCCATATATTTAGTTTGAATTGCCCTACTTAGCATATTGATAAGTATACCACAGGTACCCAATTAATGCTGGCTGAATAAAAAACATATAAGCATCTAAGAGAAAATTTTGGTTTATACCTTAGGGGTAACAAAGAATTCTCCTGATTAACAGTGATTCTTTCTAGTATATACAGATTTTTGTATCATAAAACCCAGTAATTTAATTATTCCACATCTCATTTCTAAACGTCACTAAAAGTATTATCAAAAAGACTATTCTCCTTGGCTTTCAAAAAAACCTTATCCTTCATTATGTATACAGCAACAGCAAAAGATCCAATTAATGTCACTTTTGCTTGAAATTAACCCTATCTATATTAATTACCCATGTTAGCAAACCTTGTAAATCCTATCCTTAACCTACAGGTCTATCAGTATACTTAATACTCTTGGGGGGTTAGCTCAAACATGAATATAAAGAATTATGTTGAAAACCGTGAAAATGTAAGTCAATTTTTTAATACTTAAAATTCTAAAATGTTAGAAAACCCCCAAAACCTATACAAATAGCCAAGTATGCCTTTCACTTACTAAGTTAATGTAGTTGCTCATATCTCTCTTCAAGATAGTGCCTCAATGAATGCTTAATCAAATCCCCAGAATATTTTTCATCCTTGGACTACATATATTTAAATGCCCACTACTAAGATTAAGTTAGCAGGTATGGTTATTAGCAAAAATCAATATTAGATTTAATTATTTAGAATAACAAGAATTTTTAAAAAGTCTTTAATAATGATAAAGAAATACATCCTTACTTCGATCACAGTTTTCTATTGCTTGGGCAGCTTGTGATGGTTTTAAGTATCGTACGTAGCCCAAACCTTTACTCTCTCCAGTGACTTTATTCTTAATAATGCTGCAATACTCGATATCTCCATACACCTATGAGAGTTAAAAGAAATGATCTTAGGAGACTTCAAATTAATAATTGAACAGATTATTTCAGAACTAACTTCAAATTTATGTTTATTTGCATCCCCTGCATGTAAACAAAGAAATCCTTCAAGGATATATAGATATTTTATACTGCTTATCTCACAGACAAGGAAGCAAGGCCTTAAGCAAGAAATAACTTGCTTAAGTTACGGAGAAGACTAAAAAGAAGCAAGGCCTTAGAGAAATCAAATAACTTGCTTAAGTTACAGAGAAGACTAAGTCATGGAGACAAGAGTAAGAATTTGTACGCGGTCTGGATAGCTTCGAAGTCTTACTCAGAAGTGATTAAGAGCAAGGGTTCTGGAAGTGAATTTTCCATATTCAAATCTTGGGTCTGCCACTTATTAATTAGGCTATTTACTTATTATCTCTGTGGCTTGTCTCTTTATCTGTTAAATGGGGTTAATAGCAGTACCTACTTCACAGGGCTGTTTTAAGAGTTAAATGAATTAACACACATTTGGTCCTTATACAGGGCCCGACACATACCAAACACTAATAAACATTAGCTAAATTATTTGCCTGTCTCCTAACAGGAGCATAAATGATTGTGTATTCTTTTGAAGGACAGCCTCCCAAAGTACATCTCTAAAATACACTGGTTCACTCAGAAAGTTAATACTCTATGTAAGAAATATGCAGTAATGTTTACTTTTAATGTTGAAAGAAATATGAAATATACTTTCTTTCCACATTATTATTTATGTAACAAAATTCTCATGAAATCAATTAATAACTTAATTCTCATACATTTAGATTAAAATGTCATATTTGTTCACTCAGAAAAAGATAAAAATTTATAAATGTTTTATAAACCTTTTTTCTTACTATTGAAGGAAGTATGGAATATGTATTTTTGGTATTTGTTATTTTTAGAGCATTTTACTGAACTCTCAACTGGAATAAAAGAGTAAGTTAGAAAATTACTTTTTACTGCCTATTTCTTTTGTGCTTACTGCTTACCCACTTCATGGGATAATTAGGAGAAAAAGGATTTAAAAAAAGAAACTTTAAAATAATTGCTTTTTAATAATTGTTGTGAAAGTTTATCACTGTATATAAAAGTTAAGGGCTAAAAATATTTAAAATCATCTTCAAATTTCATTTACCATAATCTATAGTTCAGAACTGTAGTCAATGTTTTTCTTCAATTATAACTCCTTCAGAGGCCCAATTTTAGGACAAAAACTCTTTTCAAAAAGTGTCAACACACTGTAGGTCTGTAATATAGAATGTGGTTCACACACTCTGGCCTGCCTGACTCCCCTCTACATGAGAGGCAATACAGGGGAGTGATAAGAGAGCGTTTTGAAATTTTAAAGGCCAAGAATAGGTTTTGGTGCTTGCTTCAGCAGCACATGTACTACAATTGGAACGAACAGTAGGTTCTGGGCTTAGCTTGGATTTAATTCTTGGCTCCACCACCTACTAGGTGTGTGATCTTAAACTCTGAACTTTACAATTCCTTTTTCTGAAATAATATTTTCATGATAAAGTTGGAGTAGGGATGGGGGACACCATCATTACTATTTTCCAGTCTTTATATGTTCTTTAACTTAAAAATTAATTTATTCTATGTTAATATTTAAAGACCAGACTGAAATTGTTGACCTAAAAATAGTTATTTAATTTCTCACCACCACTCTAACACTATAACTCAAACAACACTTCAGATTTAGTACCTGTGCAACCTATTTAGGACTATGAATTACCACATATGCTAGCTGATAGAAAACATAAGTACTTTAAATTTTTCCCGTAAATCTTCTTCTGTATACGACTTTGGTATCATAACAAAGATTCTTGTAAGTTCTTCGTCTTCAACATCTCGATGACTTCCAGATGATCTGGACTGAGCAATGAAAACCTAAGAAACAAACCAAACTCAAAAATTAATGTCAACAATTTTCCTATTCCTTAAGTATACTTACTTTATGATTATTATCTATGCAATTCATGTTAGATTAAACGCAATGTGATGGGATTGTACAAAAAATTTTTTTCAAAAACAATCTTCATTACAATGACTTTAATGAGATAATAGCAATCTCTGCATTGAGGTTTTTTTTTTCCTCCAAATATATTTCTTTTGCATTTTTGTTTTGCAAGAGCAAGTCACTGTACTTAAAAAGAATGTGTACTTTGCAGTTGTTGGGTATAGGAGTCCTCCCCTTATATTCAAAGTATATGTTCCAACACCCCCAGTGGATGCCTGGTATCGTGGATTGTACTGAATCCTATATATACTATACTTGTTCCTATACATATTTACGATATAACTATGATTAAGTTTCATTTATAAATTAGGCACAATAAAAGATTAACAATAACTAATAATGAAATAGAATAATTATACTGCAATAAAAGTTATGCGAATATGGATTCTCTCAAATATATCAATGTACTGTGTCAGGGGTAAGTGGAAACCTTAGAAAGTGAAACCACAAGTAAGGGGGGACTATTATTTAGTGTTCAATAAATGTCAATGATACAGTTGATTTAATGCTTCATGCATATTGAAGTTCTATGATTGGCTACATAAACACATGGAATTGTTATGTACTTTTTGACTGATATTTTTATTGTTATGAAATTACCCTATCTCTGTTAATAGTCCATGTATTAAAGTCCATTTTGTCTGATACCATTCCAGCTTTTTTATCTTTGTATTTAAAATGTGTCTCTTGCAAACAGCATTTAGTTGGGTTTTGTTATTTTTGAAATCATCTCACCATCTCTTCCTTTTAATTGGAAGAGATTAATTGGAGTGTTAAGTCTATTTACATTTCATGCAATTATTGATACAGTGCGTTTAAGTTTACATGGTCATATCTTTAATTATTTTCACTCTAATATAAATATTTAGAAAAAGTTAACATGCTCTGATCTTCAGCCATATCCCCTCCAAAAAAAACATAACAATATTCTAGTTCATCTTAGTGACCATCCAAATGGTTTCCTAAGTGAGCAGGAAAATGCACAGGACCAGACTTGAGACTTTTTTTCTAATACTGGTAACTTAGTTTCATTGAAACATTATTTGTAATATTAGATTATTACTTTGAATTTAATTTGCATTGTAGTACTGCTTTTTATTTAATTTGTAAATTTGCTTTGTTTTGATATTATTCCAGAAGAATGTTAAAATCTCTAACTAGGATTGTAGATTTGTTTATAGCTATAAGCATAAGATGTTTAATGGCTAGTTTTATTTTTCATAACTTGAACAAATGTAATGAAATTAATTAAATCACCAAAATGCACAGGCCCTTCAAAATTTTTCCCCTTGAATTCCACAGTAGGAGGCAACAACTGAAAGGATACAGAACTTGAAAAGCCATGGGATTTTATAAACATTGAAAAAAGAACTCTGTAACCATGGGAAAAGAAAGTCATTAGGTTCAGTGGGAAAAGAGCCTTTGATACAGGTATAGAATCCTGCTTACAAGACAGAGCTGGAGACATATACCTAGAGTCCACTTTGCTCATATATATGTTCTAGATCAAGAGGCATTTTTTTTTTCTTTTTTAATGATATGAGGTTTTGCTATGTTGCTCAGGTTGGTCTCAAACTCCTGGGCTCAAGCAATCCTCCTGCCTTAACTTCCTCAAATAGCTGGGATTATAGTGCATGCCACCATGCCCAGCCTAAGAAGCTTTCTTGCAAAGCTAAAACCAAGATTTTTCTCTTCTATTTTCTAGGTTTACCCCTTTCCTACAGAAAACATAGCTGGTCACAGAATAACTTTTACTTGGGTAATCTTTTCTGGCTGTAGGCCTGATACTGTAATATTCTTGTCTTGTAGATCCTTTGGAACTTTGCAGAAGCAAAGTACATGAGAAAAATTAAAGCTGAATTAATTTAAGTGGGAATACTGAAAACAACAACTATGTTGTTGTTGAAAGATGTTCCAGTGAAAGACAACCCAAGCTACAGCCGCTGAAGAATGAACCTAGACTCTCTAGGTAGTTACTGTTGTAAAACAACCTTCTGATTGAAACAGAGTTAAAAAAAAAATGTGAAAAACAGAATTGTAAACTTTAATTCTTAGGATTAAGCACTTAATTTCTCTGTGGCTAAAAGAGAGGATGCATTTCAGTGTTGGGACTTTAATTTCTCTTGTAGGAATTTATCAAGGGAAGGAGGTCGATGAATTTCAAACTTGGGGCATTTTTTTGGTTGCTCACATGGGCTTTCTGGTCATGTTATACCCAAAGTATAAAAGCCCTCTCCACTAACATAATAATTGGAAAGAGATGAAATCTATCAATCCAGTGCAGGGATCAGGACACTACTGCTCCAATTTGGTGCAGCCCGTAAGAATTGTTTTCATATTTTTAAAAGGCTGTTAAAAACAAACAAAAAAAGATATGTCACAGAGACTGTATGTGGCCCACAAAGCCTACAATTTTCACCATCCAGCCCTTTAAAGAAAAAGTTTGCCAACCCCTTATCTAGTATATGCTGTAGCTTTACAATTAATTTTGTTGATGCTCCGTTTTGACCCATGTCACGGGTTGGAGAGGCAGGAAGAAGGGAATGTCTACTGTGTTATCAGCATATTTCCAGATTCCTTTCCTTTTGCGGATAGAAAAAGAGGCATGAGGAAGGGAATGTCTACCGTGTTGTAAGCATATTTCCAGATTCCCTTCTTTTGTGCTGGCAAGACCTCCAGAGACTGAAATATTTCTAAGTCCTTCATCTACATAAGTCCTTATTAGTATCCTTCTCTAATTTTTTGTAAATAGAAAAAAAAATTAATTGAGATAAAAAGAATAATTTTTGTGGAAAGTTCCAACAGAAGTACATATACTGCAATTATTTCTACAGAACAGGTGAAGGGTAGAAGTTAAGCAATTGCCAGATTCACAGGACTGGGTCCTAATTTAAGGCCACAGCAAGTAAGCAGTGACATCTTGGCTTCTACTGACAACAAATAAGGATATACTGGGGCTTGTGCTTAAAAGAGACTAAATCAAATACCCTTCCTGCCATGTGTCTTTATCACAATGATTTAGCTCTTCTTCAGACAGTTTGCTTTGGTCTGCTTTCAAAGACAAGTGGCAGTAACAGAAAGGCTCAAGAACCAAACGTACGCTATTAATACTTTCACAAACTGGGCTCATTTAAAACAATTTTTAAAAATCACGAAAGTGTGATGAATACGTAATAGTAGTCATTTCAATCACCTGCACTTATTTTATACATGCACACTTTTGTCTGGTACTGGGAAAAGGCCCAACACCAGAGGGCCACAGGGTAATGTACTTTTGTCAAGTTAAGCCCCATATATATCCACCTGTGGAAAAGTAGTTATTCGTGTTTATATATGGCACTTCAGGGTTCTGAGGGAAGAGGGTCAGAAAAGTCCTCAAAGCAGGCCAGGACGAGTCGGGCCGTAAACTCTACAGTTGGCGGAGTAGTGAGGGCGGGTGCGGGGAAGTCTAGCCACTAGTGGCCCCGAATGCCTGGCCGCATCCCCCCTCCAAGCGCCCCAGCGCAGCCTCCGGGGGAGGGGAGGATCCTTTCTTCAAAGCCACTCCCTCACTCACGACAGGTGCCGCCCGGTCGGTCAGCTGCCCGGAGAGGCTGTTCCACCCCTCCCCCAGCCTGGCACAGCGCCAGGTGAAGGAAGCCCGAGAGACCCATCTCCGCCTTCCCCTCTGACCCGGGCGCCCGCACCTTTATGGGCTTGGTGTCGTTGGGGCCGAGGCACTGGCCGTGCATCTCCTCCATGGCCCTGCAGGCCTGGGAGCTGCGGGCGAACTTGACAAAGGCGATGCCCTTGGACTCCTTGGTGTGCTTGTCCCGCACTACCCAGATGTCCTGGATCTCGCCAAAAGGCGAGAAGCGCTCCCGGAGCACCGACTCGGGCGTGTACTTGCTGATCACCAGGAAGATGCGGCTGTTGGGCGGTTCGTCCAGGCTGTCCACGCCCGGACGGAAGCCTCCGCCGCTCGCGGAGCTCCCGGCTTCGTCCATGATGCTCCACCCCGGTGCCGCAGCCTCCGCTTCTGCGGTGCCCGCCAATGCAGCTGCGGCACACCCGGCCGTTGCGGGGCCGGCGCTCCGCTTCCGGAAGGAGGAGGAGTCCGGCGCCCGGCGCTATGCTGCCGCGCAGGGTGCCGGCCTCCGGAAAGCGACCTGCAGCGCCCCCTGGCGCCGCGGGGGACCCTGACCGGGTCCAGGCCTCCAATCTCGCTGAGCCCAGACCCAAATGTCAGTTGAGCAATCTTTGTTCCCTGCAGCCAGAGCAGCCCTGCCTGGTGCGCAGGCTTTCTCAGTGCTGGCTTTACTCCATCCCTAAGGCCAAGGATTCTTCTCCTAAACTTGCCAGTGTTAAAGAAAAATTATTCATGACACTTGTTGAAGATAGTAAAGCAGACTATGTTCAAGGGGAGCCAAGGCAATAGGTACAGGGTCCACTGCAATGGGATTTTGCAGCGGGGGAGAGAGGTTGGACCCTATTCCTACTCTAATAAGGACAAGTGAGAATTTATAACCAAGAAGTATATGTGTGGGGGTCTATGAATGGAAAATTAGGAAGAAGAAATATCATGGGTAAGGGGGATTCTTGCTAGATGGGCTTAACAGAATTCTTGCTGAAGACAGGCCAGGGTGATAGGATATTGATGGGGGTCAGGTACCAAGGGTGGGGATTTTCACTACACTGATTTAGCAGGGTTCTTGCTCACACTGGATTCTACAAGGACAGAAAAGCCCAATGTTGGGTGTAGTCAAGCAGAAGACTCAGAGGAGCCTGACTAAGCTATGGTCAAGGAGAGAGTCTTTGTTACTATCTTGGTCATGAACTCAATAGAGGGTCACAGAGTTACAACCATACAACCTTAGAGTTGAAAGGAACCTTTGAGATCATCCAATTCCAGATTCATTTGTTAGACATGAGAAAACTGAGGCTCATAGCATAGCCAAAGCTAATAAAGATACAAGTAACAGGGCCAAAACCAAAATCAACTCTATCTGTTGATCTATTCAACTTCCACAAGCACTCCTGTGGTTTGAGGGCAGAGAGGATGGACCACTCAATTGTGGAACTAGGAGACATTTTAGGGTACAAAGTAGGGAATGCCTAATAACTTCTAAGACTTCTTGTTAACAGGCCTTAGAGGAGAGGTCAGGAGAAAACCAGCAAAATTTCAGAAATGAGACCTGGATTTATTAACAGCAGTGGTATTGGAATGAAGTGAAAGGAATAAATTCAAAAGTGGACAAGGACCAGGGTTCCTTGAATGTCCAAGTCCATGCTGCTAAAACCTGGGTTGCTATGAAGTCAAACAGATACATATTTATTGTGAACTAACTATGTGCCAGGCTCTGTGCTAGGAACTAGATAGACAATGGGGAACAGGAAAGACAAGATCCCTACCCTCAGATTTTGTTGTTGTGGAAATCATACATATAAATACATAATACAATGTAACGTCAGATTAAGGTTCTTGTTCCCTTTGGTGTCCACTCTCCAACCCTGGATATTTTGTAGTTGTGTGATGGTAACTAAGAGTCAGGGATTTTGGGTGGTCACCTTGGATTTAGTATTAATACTAACAAGATTGTTATAATTTCTCCTTGTGTCACATTCCTTACTTGTAAAATGAGGGCTCTGTTTACCTTGGGGAACTCTAGGAATTATCTTAACTTTCCACCTCTCTTTATTTTACCCAGACCAATCAAGGTGAATGACAATAATATGATAATGTAATAATTTTATTGATGTGAGGACATGCAAAGATTCTGAGCAATACTATTTGCACAGCAGTGCCATCTAGTGGAAAATGTGTAATTTTCTTAAACTGCACTGATTGGGCAATCTATTATTTGTAAAATAAAACTATGATAGATTCTAGGGGAGACTCAGAGTTGTGGGGGGAGGGGGAAAATGGGCATTTATTGAAGCCTTAAAATCTGTATCCCCATAATATGCTGAAATAAAAAAATAGAAAAAAAACTATGATAGAGGTCCTGAAAATTTTAGGCTGATATTCAGAGCCCTTAATTTTTTTCATAAAGAAAGGATAAAAGATTGCATAAAACAAAACCAAAAACAGAAATATTGGGAAATTCTAGGAAAGCAAAATTTCTTTACTACTCAATCATGTGAAACACCACATATTCAAGGAAAATAAGAAATTTACTTATAAATTACTAAAACGTAAATATATTTTCTTTATATGATTTATTTATTTTAAACAGATTTATTGAGATATAATTTTTGTAGTATTCAATTCACTCATTTAAAGAGTTCAATTAAATGGTTTTTAGTATGTTCAGAGTTGAGAAAACATTACCACACTCAATTTTAGAATATTTCATCACTCAGTAATGACAGAATTGTCATGTTACAAATCATATAAAAATCTCTGAACATGAATTACATGTAACTGAAACATCTCAAATGTCTGAGCTTTGAAAGAATGATTATTAGTCTTTTTGTTTGTTTGTTTGTTTTTGAGATAGTGTCTCACTCTGTCACCCAGGCTAGAATGCAGTGGCACAATCATAGCTTACTGCAACCTCAAACTTCTGGGCTCAAACAATCTTCCCACCTCAGCTCTGGAGCAGCTGGGATTACAGGCGTGTGCAACCACGCCCAGCTAATTTTTCTATCTTTTGCAGAGATGGAGTCTCCCTCTTGCTCAGGCTGCAAAGTCTTGACCTCAAGCAATCCAACCCCCGTGGCCTCCCAAAGTACTAGGGTTGCAGGTGTGAGCCATCTTTCATGGCCTAATTACTGTTATATTAAAGAAAAATGTGCATTTGCAGATTTTATTTTGAAGGTTTTAAAATGTGTAGCTTATAATGCATAATTGTTAGAATGATAAATATTATGGTTATTTCACTTGAAATTCAGATGTCCTTTGAAATGTTTTCTCCCCCAAATCTTATGAATTTCTTTCTTAAAAATGAGAAGTGACTGATCTTTGAAATGCAAGAAGAAAATAGTAAAATTTTGTCATGTAAGCCTTTGTCATGAGGATTACTTGGTTGGTTACATTAATCTTCATACATTATGTTTAATAATTAGAAATATTTTGCCCTATTTGCATATTTTCTATAGATTTTACCACTGATATTTAAGGGTGATCAATTAAGAACTTTCAGATTTTTCCATACGAATATGGTCCAGAGCCTTCATCTGTCCCATCTGTAAGGTCTCTGGCTGCTAATAATGTATACAATCACTTATCTTGACCTGTAACAAGTACTGAAGAAATGGCAGTCTCCTTCTTGAGTTTGCAAGCCTTTGTTAAAGTTTGAGAATAATATTTAACTCTTGATTTTTTTTTTCACAGTATACCGGTCCTTTTGATTCAACTTAATGACATACATCTTTAAATGTGTAGATCACACGACAGAACTTAGAGGTACCACTTAGAATAGTTTCATTCAACCATCTGGAGACTGTGGTTATTTAAAAAATTAAAATAAAGTTATTTAAAATTACCTAAATTTAAAATTAATTAAAACTGAAATAATTAAAAATTCAGTTTCTCTGTTGAATTAGCCACCTTTCAATTGCTCCAAAGTCGTTTGCTGGTAGTGGACAGCAGCCGTGCCTAGCCAGTGGCCACAGAGCAGATGCAAATCTCGGGGACAGTTAGGATCCCGCGGGAACTGGGGGCCAATCAGCAGCAAGAGGGCAGCCCGGTCTGCCATTGGCTGGTGTTCACCGGAAGCACATGCCAGGCCACGCCTGCAGCCCGGGGTTTCCAGGTGTTACTGTGGGACTGCCAGCCTCGAACTTCGGGCCTGCGCTCTAGCCGGGAGCCCGTCCTGGGTGACTGCCCCGGGAAGTAGGGGGCAGAGTCGTGGCCTTGTGGTAGGTGCGGGCCCAGTTGGAAGAGAGTAGGTTGGGCAGCCATGCTATCTGAGCACTGGTAATGCCCCGATGCAGTTTGGGCCTGGGTCCATCCAGAGAGAAGTGTCCAACTGTCCGGCGGTGGGAAGTTCACCCCAGCTCCAGCCCCAGCCTGGTGGGGCCAGGTTGCCCTTATGTGCAACAGAAGCCTATTTTTGTGTGTGTGTGAGGGGCCCTTGTGCAGCTTCTCTGATTTTTAGGTGATCCTGCTTCTGCCTTCCGCCCACAGTTGGCAGAAGTCAGCCATGACAGAGAGGCTGTGGCATCAAAGAGCGAAGGTTGGGAGTTTGGAAGGCTGGATTCTTGTTCTAGTTCAAGGCTTAAATGTAGCGCTTAGAAGGGGAGAAGGCCATAGACACCTGGGGAGATTTACTCAGCGTCACATCATTATTACTGCACTCCACTTAGGTACTCTTTCCGTTACTACAGGCGGAATCCCATTTTATCATTTTGAGTCTGTTCAGTATTCTTCCTTCAAATATTCTAGTGAGCTTCCCCTCCCTCTTTCATCACTTCAGTTATTTGGACTTTGTAAATTTTGAAAGTTTCATTGATGCCTTGATTGTACTGACCACATTCCTCTTGTTATGCAAACTTAGATGTAGTAGTGGTATGTATCAGTATTTCACCTAGTCGTCTTTAAGCACTCTCAGTTGGGCAAAAAAATTTTAAGCATCTGCAGTGTGTCAGATAGTGTGCCTAATACAGGGTTGCCTAGATCACTCTTAAAAGAGAATTGTTAAACTTCTAGGATTATAGATTTGAAGCTGCCCGGCCTCTAAACTTCACCATCTCTCGACAACCAGTCACTTAATCTATGTGCCTCATTTTCCCCATGCATAAAAATAACAATATTAATATTATCAATCATAGGGCTATTGTGAGAATTAAATGAGTTAATATATAAAGGGCTTGGAAATATGCCTGGCATATAGTAAGCACATACAAATGTTTACTACTCTTATTCTGCTTATTTATTATTGGAATTACTTAATTCTTGGATGAGTGATCATTCTCATACTAGATGTCACATTTTGCTTATTTCAGTGAGATATTTCTTCTTAAACACTAAATACTGGTAGAGTGCCAAATGATTATAGGACAAAATGAATTCCTTTGATATTTTTCTTTTTTTTTTTTTTTTTTTTTTTTTTTTTTTTTTTTTTTTTTTTTTTTTTTTTTTTTGAGACAGAGTCTCACTTTTGTTGCCCAGGCTAGAGTGAGTGCCGTGGCGTCAGCCTAGCTCACAGCAACCTCAAACTCCTGGGCTCAAGCGATCCTCCTGCCTCAGCCTCCCGAGTAGCTGGGACTACAGGCATGTGCCACCATGCCCGGCTAGTTTTTTGTATATATATTTTTAGTTGGTCAATTAATTTCTTTCTATTTTTAGTAGAGACGGGGTCTCGCTCAGGATGGTTTCGAACTCCCAACCTCGAGCAATCCGCCCGCCTCGGCCTCCCAGAGTGCTAGGATTACAGGCGTGAGCCACCACGCCCAGCCTGATATTTTTCTTATGTTCAGGATATCCCTTGATATCCTTCCTGCCATTGCTGAATCTATTGGTTTTAATGCACTTGGAAGAGGGACATGGATATTGCACCAGCAGAATTCTTCTGTGATTAAAGATGGCAGCAACAAATATTTTTTTTTTTTTTTTTTGAGACAGAGTCTTGCTTTGTTGCCCAGGCTAGAGTGAGTGCCGTGGCATCAGCCTAGCTCACGGCAACCTCAAACTCCTGGGCTCAAGTGATCCTTCTGTCTCAGCCTCCCGAATAGCTGAGACTACAGGCATGCACCACCATGCCCGGCTAATTTTTATATATATATATCAGTTGGCCAATTAGTTTCTTTCTATTTTTATAGTAGAGACGGGGTCTCGCTCTTGCTCAGGCTGGTTTTGAACTCCTGACCTTGAGCAATCCGCCCGCCTCCGCCTCCCAGAGAGCTAGGATTACAGGCGTGAGCCACTGCGCCCGGCCAACAAATATTTTAATTATGATTAATACTGTAGTTCAAACAGTGATAATGGGAATTTTTGTAAGTGACATTCATATGAAATATATAGCTTATAAGTAATGATATTTTTGGGGTTTTGTTGTTTGTTTTTTAAATGTCTAGTTTTCTGAATTGCCAGCAATATTTAATTAGTATAAAATCAATCTGAACTTTCTCCCTTGTATAAAAATTGGAAAATAAAGATCCTCAAGGTAGTACTTAGATAACTTTTTTTATAATGCAAACTTTATGGTTGTAGTGAATGAATTTTGCTAAAAGGCCAAAAATGTGCTTTTTCTGACTGAAGATTTACCCTTTATGGCCCCTGTTTAAAGGCTCACTGAATTCTCAACCTTTTCAGATGATTAATAGCACTGATATATGTAGAAATTGAATGCTGTATTTTGATTGATGTTTGGAATGTTAAAGTAGGCTTCTCTTAGATAAAGTAAATTTCCTTGCCTTGTTTTCTATCAGATCTAAAACATTGATTTTAGCTGTTTTGAGACACTGCCTAAAGAAAACTATCTTCCCTTTAGGATTGTGGGTTATTAATACTGTTGTGAATTTCCACATAGATTTAAAGTTAGTAAGATATTAGTTTTGCAGGTCATTATATATAAAGCACTAGCTTTTCTCCAAGTAATAGCTAACTTTAGTTAAATAATACTGTATTCTTCAATATTGGTAGAATAACACAAATGTTCCCTATTTCTCAGTTGGGTTATATAAACAAATATGTGCTTGGGATCCTACTATCAAAGAATTAGATATTTTCATGATTTCTGTAATATTAATTTCCATCCAACTCCCATTTCTCCTGTAGTCATTCTTCACAGAACACAAAGAGGAGGAAAACAAACCCGGGCAGTGCATTTGTTACCATATTAAAGTACAATATTTTTTATTGTTTGAAATTATTTTAATTTTTGCATCATTTTAGATGAATGAAGCATTTATTTAGTTATATCATATAGTTTTGACAGTTTTAACAAAAATATCTTTGTATAAAATTTATTGCATATGTCTATCACCATACAATAAGATGTGTCCTACTTGAAACCATGTATTTTCTACTACATTAGTGTTAAACATGTACATTATGTTCACTGAACTCAATGTTATTTCTGATTGCTTCTAGATAATGATCTAAACAGTAGATTTATTTACAGCTAAGAGTAGAGTATAAAGTAAATAAGAAATTATGTTACATGTAGCTTGCTGTGGCCTCATTCTTTTCTGTATTCTTTTTAATTTTATAGTTTTATGGATTATTGCAGGCATGTAAGTACTCATAATAAATATAAGCACCCCAATGTGCTCTATCCTTATTTTCAAGTAAGAGGATGAAAAATTAGACCTATATGCTTTACATCGTTTTCTTGCACATATGCTTTTTGGAAATGAAAAGGAATATGATTGACCTGGATACATTAATTTAATTGTTTGAAGGCTGAAATAAAATCAGATTTATAGCAGTAGCACTTTCTGAAGTAGCTATGGCTAGAACTTTAGAATAAATGTGATAACCGAGATGATTAAGTCTGTATAAAATTGGGTGCTATAATAGACCTGTGTTTTTGAGCACTCAGACATTAAAGCATGAATGCTTTAAATGATACATTTTTGTTTATTATCATTAGCATTCACTTCAGCCAAAGTGATGGAATTCCTTTTTTCCCACCTTTGCAAATCTGTTATTTGTTTTCTGTGGTTTAATGTTTCAGTGTAGAACAAAATGGGAGATGCTGAAGCAGGCAAGAAGATCTTTGTTCAAAAATGTGCTCAGTGCCACACAGTGGAAAAAGGTGGAAAACACAAGACTGGTCCAAATCTCTGGGGCCTCTTTGGCCGAAAATCGGGACAAGCACCAGGATTTTCTTACACTGATGCAAACAAAAACAAAGGTAAAAATCAGCAGTTGTCAGAGAGAACCAGATGCTTTGTAGCAAAGAGGAAAGCACATGATTTGAAATTATAATAATTTTCTAACTTGTATCATTAAAAATAGACCCTCATATTTATATTACTGAAGTATTGATTTATATCATAAGGACCTGCATTTGAATAACTGGTCATCCTTTAGATCAGAAGAATTAGCAATCTTGTGTGGCATAGGTTTTTGCTTACATATGTGTTTTATTTTATGTAATACATTTATCTTGAAAAAGTATGAGGTAGATTTAAAAAAATCATATTTTAATGGTATAATGGTAGTGATTCTTTTTGTAGTAGTCATTCTTAGCAGGGTGGGGGAATATTATAGTTTGCAAAGCATATTCAGCAATTTATTTGTTGGTAGAAAGGGAGTAGATGGTACTTAAAGTGAGAGGGATTTTAGGGTTGAAATTGAAAATGGTTGGAAAAGGCTATATTATCTTTGCAAAGCAACTTGTTACTCCTTGATATGTGTATATATATACATACACACCCCCTACATACACACATAAACACACACATATATGTATATATATACAGATGTGTATATATTTTTAAGGATTATCAGATTTTATTAAAACATGGTACAACTCTATTTTGAACTTTCCCTGGTGGCCTAGCATATCTTATAGGTTGGAATTTCAGATCACTACTATTTGGAATGGGTTTTATTTTATTTTTTATTTCTTTTTATTATTTTTATTGAAGTGAAATTTATATAATATACAATTAGCCATTTTAAAGTGTACACAGTAGCATTTAGTGCATTCACAATTTTGTAAAATCACCACTTCTCCTTAGTTCCAAAACTTTTTTTTATCACCCCAGAACACTTGTATCCATTAAATAATCACCCCCCATTTTCTCTTACCCCTATTCCCTGGCAACTGCTAATGCTTTCTGTCTCTTTGGATTTGCCTTTTCTGTCTCTTTTCTGTCTCTTTGGATTTGTTGGATCTTTCATATAAAAGGAATCATATAATATGTGCCCTTTTGTGTCTAGCTTCTTTCACTTAGCATATTTTCAGGGCTCATCTAAATTGTAGTGTGGATCAGTACTTGATTCCTTTTTTCCTCTTTATTGAAAATATTTATTTACCCCACAAAAATACAACAAACAAACAAACACCCCAAGAATACAAAGGGTGGTACTGAGAAACTAATAATTTTTGATAACAATCAACACTTCTTACGATGCTTTTCATTCCTTTTTATGACTAAGATTCTAATTACAGCCTGTAACTACATAATTCCAATCTCTGACTTTGTTATCACAGGATCCCTGTTTGTCTCTGTCTTCACATGGCTATTTTCTTATAAGGACACAAATCATATTGAATTAAGGGCTCATCCTATTCCTATGGAATTAGGACATTATCTCAATCAACTGGACTAGTCACGTCTACAATGACCCTATTTCCAAACAAACCCACAGTCTAAAGTACTAGGGGTTAGGACTTCAACATATCTTTATTTGGGGGGTATTCATAATAAAGGACTATATATACATATAAAACAAATACATACTTGACAAAGTAGTAAAGGACTATATATACATATAAAATAAATACATACTTGACAAGGTAGTAAAAATACTACTAAAAGTAATAGAACAAAATTTGATCTTTGGCAAGTCGGGAATATTTTAGCATCTTTAAAAATATCAACAGAGTTATTATTAACACAGTATCATTGTATTTGGGATGTGTAAAAATCCTGGTAATTGCTATTGTATAATAAAGAATTTTTCTAGCCCTTGTCCTGGGTTCCTGGCAGGGAGTCTCTAAAACCTTGGAATTTTTGGAGTCATAAGAGTGTCTTTATTATTGTGGTTGTCTGCTGGGACCAAAACCTTAGGGTATGCTAAGAAGATGCCTCATGATGAGCTCCTAGTTTCAGGATGGGGGCTAATGATACTGCAGTGACCAACCATTCAGTCCTAACTCCAGGGACAGAGTGGGGGCTGGAGATTGAGTTCAGTCACATTGCTGGTGATTCAGTTAATCATACCTATGCAATGAAGTGCCAGTTAAAAACTCTGAACACTTTCAACTGGAAGCTCTGGTTGATGAACTCTTCCATGTGCTGGGAGAGTGATGAGTCCTGATTGTACAGGGAGATGACCTAGAAGCTCTGCATTTGGGACCCTCCCAGACCTCACCCTATGGGTCTCTTCCTCTGGCTGGCATCCTTTTATAATAAAACTGTCGTTGTAAGCAAGTGCTTTCCTGAGTTCTGTGAGTTGATTTGAGGAGATTGTGGGAACTCCTGAATTTGTAGCCAGTTGGTCCGTTTGAGTGACCTGAGGGCCCCTGGTATCTGAAATGAGGCAGTCTTGTTGGGAGCCTGCACTAACTCTGGGCAGTTAATGTCAGAATTGCATTGAAGTTGTTGCAATAGGATTTTCAGTTGATAGACTACTGAATAAATTCGTTTTTAACTCACATTTAGTGTTTCCATTTACATGGCTCCTTGATTTTTCAGGTAGTATTTCTCTGTAGTGTCATTTTATTATTTTATTATCCTGTTACAAGAACAGTCAACTTTTGCAGTTCTAATTTGTAGAGTAGTTATAAACTAATATTTGCTCCTCTAGCTGCCAGTAATTTGAGGAATTTATTGCTTATTAGCATTGATTTGGAATAATATTGGAACTTATTACAAATGTATCTTTTATTATAGATTATTGTCAAAGGTTGAAAACTATATAAAAGGCTTGGTTTTAACATTATTCAAGAATTAGAAATAAAATTTCCCTAAATCAGATTGATTATGTAATATATGTGACTTATTTGGGGACATACTATTATTTGTTAGTTCCACTGATGAAATAAGAATAATAAGTAGCTTAGTTGCTTAACCAAACTAGGATTTTAAAATAAGATTATTTAAAATGAAATAAAGATTAAAAAAATGCTTTAGCATAGCTTGGCCAAAGACAGACTTGACTAAGAAGAAGAACCAGGACACCAATAGTATAGCACTGATACAAATGGTGGTGTTCTGTCAACCATATTTTATTTTCTATGCATGATTTTTCTGTTGTAAATAATTGTAATATTTTTATTTTAAGAAGAATATGGAATTTCTCATATTTTAAAGAGGATTCTTTGTCCTATGTGACTTGTGTAGAGTACAGTTTTACAAAATGTGTGATTATAGCGATAACCTTATATAATGTGGTTTTTAAAATTGTGGGAAAATATATATAACATAAAATTGACCATTCTAACCATTTTTAAGTATACAATTGTATGGCATCAACCACATTCCCATTGTTTTGCAACCATCATCACCATCCATCTCTAGAACTTTTCCATTTTCTCAAACTAAAACTCTGTACTCATTAAAATGTCCGTGGCAACCACCCTTTTACTTTGTGTTTGTTAATTTGACTATTCTAGGTACTTTATGTAAGTGGAATCATACTGTATGTGTCCTTTTGTGACTGGCTTATTTCACTTAGTGAAATGTCTTCAAGGTTCATCTATGTTGTACCATGTGTCAGAATTTCCATCTCTTTAAGGGCTGAACAATATTTTATTACATGGCAATAGCACATTTTATTTATCCATTCATCCCTTGATGGAGATTTGGGTTGCCTCCACCTTTTGGCTGTTGTGAATAATGCTGCTATGAATATTAGTATACAAATATCTGTTGAGAGGAGTCCCTGCTTTTGCTTTCTTTGGGTACATATCCAGAAATGGAATTGCTGAACCCTATGATAATTCTGTGTTTAATTTTTTGAGGAATAGCCATACCATTTTCCATAGTTGGCTGTCCCATTTTATATTCCCACCAGCAATGCACAAGGATTCCAATTTCTCCAGATTTTCACCAACACTTGTTGTTTTCTGTTGTTTTGATAATAGCCATCCTAATGGATTTTTTTTATGATTTATTTATTTTTTTAATTTTTATTTTAGCATATTACGGGGATACAAGTGTTAAGGTTACATATATTGCCTATGCACCCCCTCCCCCCTTGAGTCAGAGCCTCAAGCGTGACCATCCCCCAAACGTTGCAAATCTCACTCATTGTGTTTGTATATATCTATCCCCTCCTCCCCCTCCCACCTGCCTGACACCCGATAAAGGTTATTCCTATATGTCCACTTAGGTGTTCATCGGTTAATACCAATTTGCTGGTGAGTACATGTGGTGCTTGTTTTTCCATTCTTGAGATACTTCACTTAGTATAATGGGTTCCAGCTCTATCCAGGAAAATACAAGAGGTGCTATATCACCATTGTTTCTCAAAGCTGAATAGTACTCCATGGTATACGTATACCACATTTTATTAATCCACTCATGAATTGATGGGCAGTTGGGTTGTTTCCACAACTTTGCAATTGTGAATTGTGCTGCTATAAACATTCGAGTGCAGGTGTCTTTTTCATAAAGTGACTTTTGATCTTTTGGGTAGATGCTCAGTAGTGGAATTGCTGGAACAAATGGTAGATCTACTTGTATCGCTTTAAGGTATCTCCATATTGCTTTCCACAGAGGTTGAACTAGTTTGCAGTCCCACCAGCAGTGTAGGAGTGTTCCTATCTCTCCGCATCCATGCCAACATTTATTGTTTGGGGACTTTTTGATAAAGGCCATTCTCACTGGAGTTAAGTGATATCTCATTGTGGTTTTGATTTGCATATCCCTGATGATTAGAGATGTTGAACATTTTTTCATGTTTTTTGGCCATTATTCTGTCTTCTTTTGAAAAGTTTCTGTTCATGTCCTTTGCCCATTTTTTGATAGGGTTGTTTGATTTTTTCTGGCTGATTTTCCTGAGTTCTAAATAGATTCTAGTTATCAGCCCTTTATCGGATGAGTAGCTTGCGAAAATTTTCTCCCATTCTGTGGGTTGTCTGTTTGCTCTCTTGACAGTTCCTTTGCAGAAGCTTTTTAATATGATACAGTCCCACTTATTTATTTTTGTTGCTGCTGTTATTGCCTTTGGGGTCTTCTCCATAAATTCTTTGCCTAGGCCAATGTCTAGGAGAGTATTTCCAACGTTTTCCTCTAGAATTCTAATAGTTTCACACCTAAGGTTCAAGTCTGTTACCCAGCATGAGTTGATTTTTGTGAGAGGTGAAAGGTGTGGGTCTTGTTTCAGTCTTCTACGTATGGCTATCCAGTTTTCCCAGCACCATTTATTGAATAAGGATTCTTTTCCCCAGTATATGTTTTTGTCTGGTTTGTCGAAGATTAGTTGGCTATATGAGGATGGTTTTATATCTGTGTTCTCTGTTCTGTTGCACTGATCAATGTTCCTGTTCTTGTGCCAGTCTCAAGATGTTTTAATTACTGTAACCTTATAGTATAGTTTGAAGAATTCTGGTAAATTGATACCTCCTATTTTGTTTTTATTGCCTAGGATTGATTTTTCTATACGGGGTCTTCTCTGGTTCCATACGAAGAGTAAAATTATTTTTTCTATATCTGTGAAAAATGATGATGGTATTTTGATAGGGATTGCATTGACTCTGTAGGTCACTTTGGGTAGTATAGACATTTAAACAATGTTGATTCTGCTGACCCATGAGCATGGTATATTCTTCCACCTGTTTACGTCCTCTGCTATTTCCTTCTTCAGTGTTTCATAGTTCTCCCTTGAAGTGCTATCTCATGTGGTTTTGATTTGCATTTTCCTAATCACTAGTGATGTTGAACCATCTGTAGTGTGTTTTTGAAAACATCATTAAATGGATACAATTTTTCTTTAATCATGATATCTTTATAGTGCATTGAAGTGCTGTTTGCACTCTTGGACAGTGATAATTGAAGCAGGTTTGAAAAACAAATTGTTTGAATTAATCATGATTTTTCCAGGATTCTATGCTAATAGTGACAGAACTAGGATTCAAATCCAGGTTTCCCTGGGCCTTTAAGGCAATCTTATCATGAGGTTAGCAAAACTAATTTATAAGCCAAACTGATTTATTAGGGATTAAGACTTATCTTTTGCCTACTGTCATGTTAAATCTTGCAGTGGCTACAATAGGACACACTAAATCATAAATGTGTTAATAAATTTAAAATATTTTGAAATCCATATACATTATATTGTACAAAAATTCAAATAGTTCAAAAGAATATTTCCCAGTATGAGTGACAAGGAAATTGTATGTTCACTTTTCCTGACTTTTCCGTATTCTTCTCTGTCTACCAACTAATTCTGGTAAAATGATTCTTTTTCATTTTAGTGGCCATATTTGTACTTTAAATAATATCCACATGGCTCTATTATTTGATTTATCTACTTAAAGCAATATCTCTTTATCCACTACTATGAAGGATGAGAAAAATCAAGGTATTTATACAACTGTCCCTTTTTTTCACACTGTCTCCTAACTCTGGCTACTTACATCGTTATTTCTATTCTGATATGATCTATATCATTTATATCTCATGTAACCATAATTACCACAATTGTTTTAACATTTATTCTACATTTAAATGATACTAGTGGGTGTTCCCGGATATTCCCAGCTTTTACCATAGTATCTTTACTATTTACTTATCTTTTTGGTTGATGAATAGTTTTCTATTAGTAATAACACTAATAATTACTAGAACTATATTATCCAAGTTCTTGGATGTTTTAAAACATATCAGGATTGCATTACACTTGAATGATAATTTGGCAGGGCATAAAATTGTTGGAAGACACTTTAATTCCTCAGAAGTTTATGTCTTTCATGTTGAATTATTGTTTGGAGAAATATGAAACTACCCTGATGGTTTTCTATTATGAGTTACTTGGTTTTATTTTTATTTTATTCTTTTTCCCTGAAGTTTCAGTAACATTCTTAACTGAAATTTAGTAACTTTGCTAGGCTATGTCTAGGCCTTGGTTGATCTATTATAGTGTTTGCTGGGATGTGTTGTGCTCTTCCAATTGGTAAATTCAGGGATTTTATTTTTGAAAGTTTTCTTCAATAATATGTTTTAATAATTTTATTGCATTTTATTTATTTTTTTAAAATCTTACTTTGGTCATCAGTTGTACAGATCTTGTATCCCCTGTGTCTGAATATCTTCTGTATCTGTCATTTTCCCTTTGATCTGATAGCTAGAGTAATCATTTTAAACTCTTCATTGTTTTATTTTTGTTTTTACCAGTATTTTCAAACCTCATTGTGCTAACAGCAGCATCTGTTAATTTTGCTGTCAGGTATGCCTTTGTCTGTTTTATAATTTTCTACTTGAGCCTTTGTAGCTCTACTTTGATCTCTTGATTCATAAAGACCTTTTTTGAATCTGTGAGAATGTGGTCCTGAGTTTCATCTGCTTAATTTACATAGTTTCTGAAGTGTGTGTTTCATTTAACTTTTGTTTTTTCTCCTCCTTTCTGCTGTGCATGTATTGTGTATGTGTTTGTATGTGTGTGTATGTTGTGTGTTTATATCTTCGGTACTTCTTTGTGGTGATTTTTTTTTGATTGTTACTAATCTTTTGATGAAAATAGTTCTTCTTGGACTAGTTATTTGTAGAAGGATAGTAAGGGTGAGGGTCTGAGTGTTCCACTTAGTTGTGTGGTCTTCCTCACCCACAGGTATGTTAGAGATACGTGTATGTGTCTGAGTGTTTATGTTTGTATGTTTTGATGGAGGTGTTATTTGTCTCTTTACTTCAGCTGGTAAAGACTGGCAGCCCTAAGGTTAATCAACCTTTGCAGTTTCTCTTCTGTCCTATAATAAGTTCTTCTTTCAAAGATGTATGTACTTTCTTCATTAATCCCGGCTCCCCTGGCCCTCCATGGTGTCAGACTGAATTTAAGGAGACTTTCATGGTCAGTTGATATACCCTATTCTTTTTGAGCCAAACAAAGGATTATGATTTTGCCTTACAAGGTATGTCACATACTTTGAAGATCTCTTCTCCTCAGGTCATTTGTGAAAGTTGCCCTTTCACTCTGGTCCAGGATTCATGTCCTTGGTAGTCTTCTATTGTAATTACATCAAGTTTGGAGCCATAGGTACTTCCTCAAAAGTTTTATCAAGAGTGAAGTTAGCATTTTTGTTTCTCTTTGTCTATGTTCTTTTTGACTGGTTTTAAAAAGGAAAAAAGGCAGCCTTTTTCGGTCATTTTAAAACTGGATTTCTGAATTTATAGATTTTGTTGGAGAGCTGAACAGAGGCAGATTGCTATGATTAGTAGAAATAACATTGAAATATGAATTAGTAGTCACAAATTCTTGACTCTAACTAGCTTTGTATTCTTAGGGCAAATTACTTTCCTCTCTTTGGGCCAACATTAACTTATTTGCAAAATGAGGATTGGCTTAAATAATGTATAAGATATTTTCTAGAAGGAACTCACTGTGATTTGTAGAAGATGAGGTAATGCTTAGGCATAACGTCTGGGGTGATAGTTCATTGCTATACATTGGATAATCCTAAATAGCATGTGACTGTGGGATTTCTACAGAGAGCCAAAGAGTGAAGAATAATTTTGGAATTTTCTTATAGGTCAGAATGTATAAGTATTCCCAGTTATAATAGTCTTCCTACTGAAGCCAAGAGTAATCTTTTATTCACATATGTGGGTCATATCAGAAAGTAAGCTCTACAAATGTAGCTACACAAACTTAAAACTTATTTTCACCTTTATAGGTATTATCTGGGGAGAAGCGACTCTGATGGAATATTTGGAGAACCCAAAGAAATATATCCCTGGAACTAAAATGGTCTTTGCTGGTCTTAAAAAGAAGAGTGAGAGAGAAGATCTTATTCAATATTTGAAACAGGCAACATCTTAATGAAATGCTATTGCAACTTCAAAAATATTAGTTATAAGCCAAAATTTTCTAATTTCAAATATTGCATGTTTAAAGAAGCCATATTTGATCTTTTTGATCAGCCTGTAGTAAGTTTAACATTTTAAAATAAAGGTTGATATTTTTGATTGTGTGTAATCTACTGACCAGCCACCGTTCAGAGTCTGAACTTGCTTTTTTCTGCTCACTAAGGATGGGGATATTTCAGGATGGAGGAGGAGAGAGAAGAAAACTAAAATCTATTGTGCTTTGGCAGTCTTTATATGCACAGAATATTTTATAAGCATAGCAACTGATGTTGATGATGGTTTCCACATATTTAATTTTCTGTAATTTAAATGTAAATATAGAAGATATTAGCTTTAATTTTTATGAAGCTATGTTTGCCTTTTATTATAAACAATGCTTAAAGTAACTTTAAGGGAAAAAATAGCAACAATGAAGTCAAATAGTTGAACTTACTTTAGGAATATTTTTAGAAAAAAAAGAGCAAATTATTGACCCCAAAATAAAACCTAGAGAGAAGGATAAAAGCATGTCTTATATTAATAAAAATTTATATCATATAATCTTTTTGCATTAATATTTTTATGCTATCCTCCTAGTCCTGAGTAATATAAAACTGGGCTACAGGAGGGAAAGCAAGGACACTGAGAAAGAGAAAAAAATCCCCAAACCCTCCCCATAAATGTGGAAGGAGCCCTCACTTCACAGTAGGTGGAAGAGAGGCATGGTGGGACAGGTCTAAACAGGGCCTGTGTGGAAGAGAACAGTGGCTCTGTGTAGTGTGAGGCAGCCCCTAAGCAGCTGTGCAGTCCTACAAGTACTCTATCACCCAAGTGATACAGCCCTGCAAGATGGAGAAGCTGTTTTCATACCACAGAGAGGGGTAGTGGAGTGGTCAAGGGCCATTATGGATGAAGACAGAAAACCCATTATCTCATTTACACTTCACAATAGCACCCAGTGATATGGGTTTTTACCTTCCATATTAAGTAAGACCTAGAGAGATCTGGTGCCAGAAGCAAAACTTGGATTTTCTACTCCAATTCCTGGTGACTTTTCGTCATTATCATAGAGGTAATATGTAAGCAAGTTAAAGTATTAGCAGATGCCACTACTGTGAAAATAACTTAACAGTGTTCTCAGAATGAGGGAAACACAGTTGAAAAAGCAGTGATTTCCAGGCAGCTCCATTAACTCTGCCAAGTGCTCGAGTTTACTTTTAATGCTTCTGGTAAGTAGGGGAGAATGCATTTCTCCAGGAGGCCAGTGCCAGTATTGTGTAGGAAATAGTGTCTCTGGGGGCAAGAGATAGCTTCAGGCAAAGCTTAGCTTGCCACTCTCTCCCTGGAGGAATTTTCTGAGGAGGGCAGAGACATCTGTAGGTCCCATAGTGTACTAGGGATGTTGCCAGTATGAAAAGCTCAGTGAATTTGCAGAGATGTAGAATTAGGTGACATACCTTATATCCTAATTTGTATGGGGCCAGAGGCTGTGAGAAAGAAACTTGGACTCAGTTCACATTCATAATTACAGCTCAGATTTATATAACCCGGAAGAATGGACTTGGTGGCATTGATAAATGCCACATTGCAGGGAGGGATATGAGGGCCTCATGTTTGGAGTTTAAATATTTTTGACTTAGCAGAATTAGAAAGAAGATAGTATGAGGAGGGCTGAGATGATAGAAGGGAGGTGGGTAGAAATGGAAAGGTATTAAGTAGATTTCCATTCTAAAAATTGATAATATGTTGAATATTGATTTAAATTTATGTTTATCTTAGAGAAAAGTATCTGTGCTGTTAGCAATGTTTCCTATATTAGATAGAGAAGAAAATTTGAAGGAAAATTTGCAAATGAATGCAATAATTAAAATTCTATATGTGATAGGCTTTATTGAATATATATTATCTCTGAGAGGCTCAAATCTATCTTAGGATCAATTTACATAAAGGAACTTCTGGATACTGTAGCGATTGTATACTATGCCAATCTAGCTTAGCTGGAACTGCGTTTTCCAGAACTCTCCTCTCTACATGGTACTCAGGACTGAATTTGCCTGAGATTTGGAAGGCAGTGGGGCCAGGTAGAAACCTCTACATTTGGAAGGTCAATTCAGGGCCCCAAGTACAATTTACACATGTTGTAACTAACTAATCTGTTGGCTCGCCTTCTTTTGGTGGAGCAATGGCTCTTCCAACTCCTGCCAAATCTTCTCTTATGACTTCTCTGAGTCCTGGGCTAGGGAATGTGCAGCGTTGAGGGACAAGGGCCCAAACATATCACCCAGGTTTGAAATGGTGAGAAACATAATACAGGCACCAGTTTGCCCTCACAGCTTTGTTTTTGCTCTCCCTGTTTTGCTTGCAGCTTTTCTTCCCAACACCTTGCCCTGCTGAACTACAACTTTAGGCCCAATACTGGATGCAAAGACTCTCTCTTTTGGCCAAACTTGAGTCAGGCTCCTCTAAGCCCCCTTTTCAACTAGCCCCCAACTTTGGGCTCTGTCCTTGGCCCACGGAGTCCAGTTTTAGTAAGAATCCTGCTAGATCAGTTTAGCAAAAATCCCCCACCCTTGGTATCTGATAAATTTCTCATCCCTCACCTGAGGTATCTGATCACCCTGGCCTGCCTACAGAAAGTATCCTGTCAAGTTGGTTTAGCCAGAATCCCCCTTTTAGTATTTCCTCTTAGTACTTTTCCATCCACTGCCCTTTCACCCTGCTCCTTGACTATGAACCCCACTTGTCCATGTTGTATTCATAGTTGGATTCTGTCTCTCTCCTCTACTGCAAAACTCTCATTGCAGTAGTTCTTTCTTCAATAAAATCTTCCTTTTATCTTTAACAATTGTCAGAATAATTTTTCTTTACTATTAATAACCTTCTATGCATAATCGTCTTTACCAGCTCCACTTTGTGGTCTTAGTGGCTTTGCTCTGATCTTTTAGCTGTCCCTTTTTGGACAGCTAGTAATGACCAAGGCACACTAGCAGTATTTTGTTATTCAGTCTCTTCACCTGAAGCCATAGGTTCATTAGATTTATTACCTGTCATTCAAGTTATTACAGGTGACAATTTCACCAAATATTTTATCCTTGCATAACATGGGTCACCATTTTTCCAACTCCTGATAATAATTTCCATGCAACTCTCTGTCAGGTGCTAAAGATAGGGCCATATATTTTAGTTATAGCAGCACCCTACTTGTAGGTGCCAATTTTTGTATTAGTCAACTTTGTTACAGTAACAGAACCTCAGGAGCTTGCAACAACAATGTTTATTTCTTATTCAAGAGGCATGTTGGCTGTGGTCAGATGTGGTGCTGCTACAATTATCTTCTCATTCTGGAACCATAGTTAAAGGAGTACCTGTGTGGACATTCCCATTCTTGTGGCAGAGGGAAAATTGAAGAGCCCTGGAAGAAACCCCTGATGCTTCACAAAACTTCTCCTCAGATGTGGCCTACATTATGTGTGCTCACATGTCATTGGCCAAAACATGTTAAGTGGCCAAGGCCAATGCCAGTGAAGTGAGGAGGTATATTCCCCCCTCAAGAGGAATGACAAGTCACATGACAGTAGTTTTTGTCTTCCTTTTAGAGGGACGAGGGTAGAGAATAATTGTAAACAAAATGCTATCTACTGTAAACATGTATACACATTTCCTATGTTGATATTTTCATTTCATACAATCCCTCTGTTGAACTAAGTCTCATTGCTCTTTGATTTGCCTGTTACTCTGAGCAGTCACACCCTCGATGTCAACTTTGCTTTATTGTTGTTTCTGTTTTCTGTACTTGCTTGCAGCCTGCCTGCTCCCATGTCAGACTTGCTTGTGTCTACATTCTGGCTTGTGACATCGTCAGCTCTTTCTCACTATCTCTGCTTTCCTACTACTTCTCCAATTCTGATATGTGAGAAAAAAAAATCAAGCCTTTGTAAAATCCAATTTTAGATCGACTATAGGATAATGATCAAATTATTGTACAATTTTACTTGAAGCATGAAAAAATTAGGCAACTGAGATTCTTTGGTAGCTCGGACTAAAAGATTGTATTTCACAATTATACCCGAGAACCTCAGTGAACTAACTACTCAAGGAGATAATTTGTCATGAGGTTGAATTCTGATTTAGCAAGAAAATTATTTCTCTTATAAATCTGGATAGAATAAACATGGTCTTTCTTCTTGGAGTGTTAATTTTACTTGAAGATAAAAAGCCCTTTTTGGATTTTTATGCTTTTAAAGGTTTTATTTGTTCTGACATGGAAGGATGTCTATAAGACACTGTTGAGTAAAGAAAACAAATTCTGATGAATCTTATGGAATGGTTCAATTTTATATAGAGCTTTTTCTATACATATACAAAAATATGTATAAATGTGTATATATAAAGGTAGCTAGATAGCTATTGTCTGTTGATGCATACCACCCTGGTAAGTATGTGTTCCTAGGGAATAGAGATGGAAGATTTTGTTTTTCCTTTATATAAGCTTATGTTTAAATTTTTACAAACATATATTATCCTTTTCATAAAAGAAGAAAAATTAAAAGTATAGCTCAAAGTCACTAAAATTTTGTCAGATGCAAAAGCAAAATCTGTGAAACCTTTTCTCTAAATTTCATATTATTTTATGAAAATCCAGAAAGAGGAACATTTTTATGCATACCGAGTTATTGGAAAACTTGTTTTGAATGTATTTGGGGAATGTAGTGTTACTAGTTACACAGCCTGTCAAAAGGCATGCTGAGCAGCTGTAACAGCGGGGAGTAATGCTGACACTTTCTGGTAGGGCTCTTTGTGCTGTATAACTCCCCTGCTCACCACTTTCTTGGCCAGTCTATGGAAACCAGCCTAGTCAGTTCTTTTGAAAAGCAAGTATATCAGTTTTCCAAGCAGTATTATTTGTTTTGTATTTTGTTTTTTGTCTTTTAGCTTCTCAAATTGGTTCAATTTCCTGCCACAGTTGTGTTCCTTCAAACATTTGGTTCTGCTGAGTTCCATTTTTCTCTATAGTGATTTTTCAATTACCCCTAACTAGCAGAATTATGATTTTTAAAATAATTATTCATGTTAGCATTTACTTTCCTTACAAAAAATGAGTGTAAGTATTTTAAAAATTA